CATAATGTCCACTCACTTAGTGGGCCTATATGACAGAAGCTTTCAAAAAACTTTCTATTAAAAAACTTATTTGTGATCTTAAACATTGGCTACTAATGCCATTATTTGTGACATTAGAGGAATATACAAATTCTAGAAAAAATACCTCACAGGAGTATTTAAATATGAGAGTAGTGTGTACCATTAAGAAAAGTCATTTTATTTTGAATTCTATATTTGCTCTTACCACACTATTGAGTTCAACAAATTATGAAAACTCACAGAAGGCAGACTGAGATAATGAAGGGATTGGAAGAAATGTTACCAAACAAAACATGTTCTACAATTCTAATCAACAACTTGCAATTCTCATAGAAATAATAGAAATGCCTGAAAAATTTTCCCTAAGAATGAGGTTTATTGAAACAAGGTCTACATAAAGAATCATCAATGTTTGTAAATGAAACGTTTCACAAATTTTAAATCTTTTCTTTTGTTATGACATGAGTTTAGGTTGAGTTGAAATTTCAAAAGGGATCAAAATTTGGCAAAAGTAAAATTAGCACAGGAGGCAGCCAGAATGATCTTTTCTTTTACACAGACTAGTCTAGATGCTGTATGATGTAAGGACAGGGTGGACCATGGCATAGTGCTCTCTTTAATTATTCTAGAAAATTCCATGGATTTAGAAATTTAAAATGGCATTATATCAATAGATTTTTCACTTTATTCACTGTAAGTTTTTATTGTATGATATATTAAATGAATAAGAATTTCACAAATGTATTTTAAGTGAAATTTTGTTGGCTGTTTATATTGATTCTCTTAGTTTGGGGGGAGTGATTATGTTTATTGGCAAGAAATCAATTTTTCAAACAGTAAATCCTCATGTCTTTATCTCTGCATTGTTTAGGCTGATTGGAACTGAATGATAAACTAATTCAATGACAAAGGTCTTAAGAGATGATGTTGAAATGTAAAAACACAACCAAGAATAATAAAGGGGCTTTTCTAAATTATATGAATAACAAACCTTTGTCAAAAAAATAATTTTACTAAAATTACCTTTGTTTGTGTTTTGCTGAGATTATGTGGGCTGTTCTGGAAAACTAAACTACTTCAAGTCAAATTCTAAACATATCCTTGAAATTTTCATGATTAAAAATCTGTTTATTTTAATAAAGAGAGGATGTTCTGTTTAATATTACTTGAAGTGTTGAAAAACAATTATTTTAATTGAAAGGTAAAGTATGTTAGCATTTTTAATACTTTAATAAGAATTAAGATAAAGCTAAGATAAATCTAAATATGGTAAACTTAACTATGGCATTTAAAATATAGGATCATGTTCTTCATGTTTAACTGTATTTCCCTGGTCTTTCAGTGTAAAACTTGGCTTTCTATCAAGTATTAGCAAACTATAACATTTTAACAAAAATAAAGGACAGGGACCTCATAGTGTTCATAGCTAACTCCACAAGTACTGATAGCTGTGTTCAAAATTATTCTTGATTTAAACAAGGACATTTAAGTTCATGAAATGTATAATGTATACCCTCCGTGAATCTTCTCTTGCAAACAAAAAAAAAGTGACTATAGGTATTTTTAAATATCATAAGCTGTATTTGTTTAAGGTGTGTATATACATGTTTCGTATAAAATTGGTATCTTGCAGTTTCTAATTTAACTTCAAAAAATCACAGGTGTAGAAATTCAGTTCTTGATATAGACACTGATCTCACTTGTATTTTTAAGCGTATCACCCTTTCCTTGTTTTATTATTGTATAAATGACAATGATAGAATTATTATGCTTTTGTAGGGCTTTACAAAAATAAATAAACATGCAGATATTTATTTGAACATTAAAGCATACATTATGTTCATTTTAAAAATAAATGCATGTTTAGCAAAAGAAATACTGCAACCTCAATAATTATTTAAGCATTCTGATTAAAAGCAAGTAATTACTGTCAATTTTTAGCTTCTTTAATTACGTAAGGGCTGTGCTTTTTAATTTAGAAGATGAGCATATTTTCTTTCCTGATGATAAATGACATAAGTATTAAGACTATCACCATATGGATTTAGTGGGGGGAAATAATCAGGTATAGTTTTGGTTTATAGTTTGTACCATTAGATTAACCACAAAATTGACTATGCCTATTATGTCAGAGCTATGGTGTAATTTTAAAGATAATTGCATGAATCTCTGATGACATTAAATCCTAAAAGTTAATAAAAAATAAACTTTAACATAATTGAAATTGTGTGAAGACCTAAGGTGAACAAAACTAAAAATAACAAACTGGTTATTCTTCTTATAATTCTTCACCAGGTAACACCTTAACCCCATTTCTGAATTTTAGTTAGTGTGAGTTGGTTAAGAGAGAGAAGGAAAAATGAAAGTTATTAGAACTAATTTATTGCAACACTTACATCTGGAAAATATGCAACCAAATTCTAAATATTTCCTGGTAAAACAACAGACACATTCTTTGATTTCTAGCATTACACATAATTGCCAATAAATTGCATAATTCTTGAGATCAAATTTCTAAGCAAAAAAATCTTAAGAGGTAGAGAAATTTTTACTAAAACATATGCAGTATTAATATTTTATTAATAAAAACCAGTATGCTAATCCTTGGAATAAAAGGAAAACAGTGGAGAAGAGATACTTGTAGCTGTTTAAAATTCAGGTCCATATGTATGTGTAACTTGCCACAATTGGTACTAAGAGTAAAATGGAGCAGATTGACTTTTCTACTTTATCTGAAATAGATTTACCTGTTAACAAATGCTAAACGCAGATATTTACATTTCCTTAGGAACGCAAACTTGCATTACTCTGAATCATGTGCCCTTTCACATTTTTTTTTGCCTTGAAATCATTGATAATGAGTTCCTATAGATATCCTACGTCTTCCCTGATTTGAGGTAACTAATAGAGTACCTGAAATGTAATGGAGTGAAATAAAAATTTTGAGATTCGATGATTTTTTATAGCCCTTGTCTATTCCACTGAGGAACAATGGGTTTTTTTTTGGTTGGTTGTTTTTGTTTTTCTCTTCATACTATTTGTAGGGTTAACTATATGATCATTAAGTATATTGAAAATAGAACTTTGTAAAAATTAAGAGTGGGAATGTGAGAGGGAAGGGGAGGAAGGTTGGAATGTGGGCAGGAGGAAGGGTAGGGGCGAGGGTCACTATATGACTAAATCTGTATATATGAAATATATGAAACTTATACAATTTAAATGAAATTAAAATTTAAAGATGTAAAAAAAGTATATTCTTCACTTAAGTGAAGAAACTGAAATTTGCTGTTTAAAATTTAGAAACATTTTATTTTCAATAATAAAATTTTAAACCCAGAATTCAATTTGAGGAGCAAAACCTGGATCCCAGTTCTTATTGAACTTTGATTTTAAGTCTCTTTGAGTCACTAATATATATATAAATGAGTTAAATATGGCAACATCAGCATCCAAGTTACATTACAGACATTTAAGGACTCTTTTCTTTAGGTATTTGTGCATTCTTTGTACATTATAACTTCAAAAATAAATAAATATAAATATCAATGATTTACAGGGTGACTAAAGTGTATTTAAAGTGCTAAAGTACATTGGTGGAGTAATAACATTTCTAAACAAGTTAAAAAGCTGTACACAATCTTTCATGAAACCATATGATCACTGTTGGGATCACAATCTGATGAAAGGTTCATCCTTTCAATCATATGACACTTGTCTGTTCTCTTCATCAGAGTTCAGACAAGTAACCATAATCTCAATGCATTCAATCTGCGTTACTCATGTTTTCTATTCTTAAGGGATAAAATATACGTTCATCAGGTTTTTCCTTTAAGCTTTTAAAAAAATGTTTTCCTATCTATTTCATTAGTCATCAAAGAAATGGTGCATGTACAACCTACCTCAATTTTTTTGTTTCTAGCTTACGGTTCCACAATCTTTTGGTATTAGTAGACGAAACAAAGAATCATGTAGGGTGGATTTGCAACACAATGTGACAGTCATCATTTGGGTGACTTGTTAGAAGTGCCATCTTTATCACATATTTATGTGCTTCATAAAGACAGGGAATTATCAGTAAGATTTATCCATTAACTAAAATGAAAATATTCCTATATTGCAGATAATAAATAGGAAAATTTAATTACCAAGACCTTCAAAGGAAATATTCTACAGAATCACACACAGAGCATTTTTATTTTTTAAAATGGTTGTATAAAATAATTCACTTAGAGAATATAGTCCCAATATCGAAAGAGTTTAGTGCAATTATAAATGTCTTAATATTAGAAGAACCTCTAGTTTATTTAGTAAACAAATTGAATGATTAAAATTCCAGTACTATATGTAAGTATACTATGCCATGATTAGTGCTCACCAAGAGCAAAAGAGGGTGAGTTGATTTCTCTGCTATGCTTACTGTACTGATACAGCTTCCCTGACAGAGTTCCTGTAACTCTGATGAGAGATTTGACTGTCTCCCACCACATTCCTAAATCACGTTGAAGGGCAAAAATGATGGCTACACTGCTTTGTGGATAAGACCTAAAGTGTTTAGCGTCACTACGGTAAAAGGATGAATCGGCAATAAAGCTGATAGAAATAAGAAAAATGAGGTCATTCAGTGATTCAACTTTCAAGACATTTCTTCCACCTTAATTTAATCCTTCAAAACACATGAAAATCAGGTAAGCAAAAGTACAATATTCAAGAAGATATGAAGAATATTTGAAAAAAAGATTTCTTCAACAAAAGCAAAAGTCATGTTTTGTTACCAACAATGATGTCCTAACACAGGAACCTGTCTTCCTGTTAAATGTATCAGTTTGTCCATGCTTAAGTGGTGCCTGCATCCAAAAGTTACTTTTATCCTTGATTCTAAAATCAACCTTGATGCAATGTTTACCAAGAAGAGTAGTAGCATGTTGAACTTTATTTCCTCAAAGACAGCACTTTCATACAGCCTTTTGTGTAATACTTACTCAAATATGGTGGTTTGTAAGGCGCTCGTGTATTAGACAGCAGTCCATCCAGCTCCTTCCTCTCCAGCGTGCTGTGCAGGGCCTTCTCTTTGCCAAAGGTGGAGAAGGACCGCTCTGCCCCAGGCTGGGCTTCTGGAGTTTCAAACACCTCGGTGTCTGGAACAGAGTCCATGCCGGGAACATGCAGATTGCTGCGATAATCGGCAGCCTGGCGTCCATCAGAGGGGACAAAAGAAGGCATCCAGCACCGATCGGAGTGACCCAGTGCTTTACATTCCTCGGTGCAGTTGGAGAAGAGATCCATACCTGCAAGCACCAAGAGAAAACTGCAGATGTGGACCTCGGCCGCACCATCACCGACTCGGCACTTCGCTCATCACTTTACAAAGAGAAACGAACTGCAAATGTAAAGGGTAAGCCTCTTCTGGCAATAGATAACAGTTTCTAGAACACTTAGGATATTGGGAAAAAATGCTGGCTCTTCACTCTTTAAATAACTAGGAAACAGTGACTAGAAAATGAACAAACACCTTGAAAAATCACCTCTGAAGTTTCTAACAGAGAAAAAGATTAGGAGTAAAGGTTTCATAGCCCATAATCAGTAACAAAGATAAATTACCTGACCACTGTTTTTATCTTAGAGACAAAAATGGAAGAAGTATGCCAAGCATTAACTGTGATATTTAGATTATGGAATCCGAACATGAAACAAAGTGGAATCCAACAGAAATATAGTATACACATTGATAAACAAGTGAATAATAAGAATGAAACAAAATTTCATGTGCAACCAAGAGCATGCTTTCTTAGATTCCTATGAAACAACTTCCTAAAGCTAATTCTCATTGACACTCTGGTATTCCATATTACGATACACTGCTTATCATTTCCCAACTTAGACAAACCCAGAACAAATTACTGTAATTACTGAAGCCAAGACAATCAAAAGCAGTGTGAATCAACTGCAGATACTATTGACAAATACTTTATTACTTGTTCTATATTGGAAAACAATTGTCCCGATCAACACAGAACTCATTGCTTGCCAATTCTATAATACAAAGGCTTCAAAGGACTTCAAATTTTATTGTCATCCTTAGATCCTTTGATTGTAATCAAGAAAGTTCATTCAATTCTTAAGCAAAGTATAAGAATTTTTTAGTATTACAGAATACTATTTGATCTCCGCTTTTATTTATAGCACTACGCAGAAAACAAGCACATGAACAAAAATAACATTTTAATGTTTTTCTAAGCATAGCATATTTATTGAATATGTTTTAAGACAGGATCAATATGAAACAAGTATGATTAGTCTGCACAGAAGAAAACTCTTGAAAGCGTGCCTAGTCAGAAAAACTAGGGCTTTTAAAAAAAATTATTTATTTACTTGAGAAGCAGAGAAACAGTGGGAGACACGCACACACAGACAGACAGAGTGAGTGTGCACTCCCATCTGCTGGTTCACTCCCCAAATGCCCACAACAACAGGTTCTCAGGCAGCCTGAAGCAGGGATCCCAGATTGCAACTGAGGTCTTTTACATGGGTGGCAGGAACTCAGTTACAGAACCCTCACCTCTGCCTCCCAGCATCAGCATTAGCAGGAAACGGGTCAGGAGCTTGTGCTAGGAATCAGACTCAGGTGCTCTGATGTGGAATGTGGGCATCTCAACCCCTAGGATCCACATCCAGTGTTTTTATTTTTCTTAACGCAACAGAGAAACATGTATTTAGTGAACCCACTTGGTTGTTACCTCTACAAATATGATGAGTGATTTGGGAGTAAGTTCTAGTTTTTAAATTCTTAATGGTATTTCTATATGTTGATTTATGTGTGTCTGTGCATCCCTGTTAATATACGTACATATAAAATAGTCAAAAAGATTTTTTTAAGTTACAAATTTTCTAGATAATCCACAGGTATCTAGTAAAGCAGTTACACAAACTATTTTAAAAGGAATAATACCATTTCATATCATGTATTAATCTCACTATATAATGACTTTTTATTCTAAATTCAACTCTGTATACTGCTAAGTTTGACTTTGATGATAACATACCAGTGATTATTTTCATGCATAAGCCTGAAAATGAATTACTGAACAGTGAAATGTTGAGGAATGGAAATGTGAGCTGAAGCTGGGACTAAGGGATTAGATTAAGAACAGCATAGAAAAGGTGCAGGTGTTTCACCAGACATCAGAGAAGCTGTCTCAATATTCCATTCCTGCAAGAAGCTATGTAGAGACAAAAAGACAAAGTAAATAACAATTGCCCTGATACACATTTATGTAGTGCATGGGTACAGGCAATGGAACAGAGAGGAGATTTGCATTTTAACACACTGTACTATACAGTCTACCTATTTAATAGCATGATGGATAGAAAAAGGCTTTTTTGATGCAAGAATCTGTCTTCATTGGTAAAATTATGATCAATTATTTATTTATCAACTAAATTTATATTAGCATTAAATGTGAAGAGTTAGTGGAATTTTGTTAAAATATTAAAATAGAATTGCTTTTACTAGATCTTGATAAAAATAGGTACTGATACAAATTTTCTAACTAGTACAATTTTTCTTCAGAGGACAGATAAATGTTAGTTTAAATATACTAAATAGGACCACGTAATTTTTCATATCTTTCTCTGCATCTATGCCAAAATAACTTTGTACTCCTAACTATGATGTCAGACTGAAAATTTTGATCAAGCATGTCAACATGTTAAAATTAAGAAACTGATAATATTAGTAGATGCATTTGGCTGTGATTGTGGGTAATTTATACTCAATGTGCCCATTTTCTCTTTCAAGTGTATGGCTCTCCAGCTTCTTTTAATTATTCAATTAAAACTTCCATGGATAATAAAATGAAATTTGCATGAATTAAGAATCGTTATAAAAACATACAGCTTGTGTATAACAAAAAAGTGAGGAGTATAAAAATGTTTTTTACCAAAATAATAATAATAACTTGACAAAAGGAAAAAGCCTTGTAAATGATGTTCTTCATTAAATTATGAGTTAACAATTTTAAGGTAGAATTCACTGAGTAACAATATACAGCTGAACATAACCGGAATGAAGGGTGAAGTAGCTCTAATTGTCAGGAATGCTTCACTAGCTTTATGGATAAAACAAGCAGATCTGTCTCTGATGAGGAAAAATATGACATAGAAATGGAAACTAAAAAAATAATCAACAAAGTTTAGGTACCTGAAAAATTAATTGAAATTGAATTTTTTTTCATTTGTCCTTTAGATGTTTATGTACAGTTAGATAGTCAAAGAAATTTATCCCATTACTGATCCTCACCTTAGGTAGCCTTGTTTGATTAATATTATCTCTTCTCATTTATCCTAGGTCCCACTAAATATGCTACTATCACTACCCAACAAGCAGAGGTATATTTTACTTTTATTGTGGTGACTATATTATGTACAGGGATGTCAATATTATAGTACCTGTGACACATTAAAATACATGACTTCAAACTGCTCACACAAGTTTTTAATGTCTCAAACTGAAGGCTTGAGAGTTAATAAGTTGGATTTTCTTTTTCTCACTCAAGTGCCCTTGCTATAGAGCCTATGGGATTTGTACAACAGAAAAATACAGGCCATACATTGTTTTTGAAATGCTACTGATGTCTAAGAAATGTTTTAATGCATATTTTTTACTTGCAACCTCTCTTTCTAGTTGTTTAATATTTCCTCTTCTGAGAAATAGTCTGTTCTGCAAGGCATGACAGCTGACGTGGTAGACTGCCTGTTATGCAAAGATATATTTAGACAAATTTTAAAATACATATTTTTCAACTGGCAAGTAACTTGCCGTTATAGTAAAGAGATAATGGATATTTCCTGTGAGAACACAATGTGATTTCAAAAGTATTAGAACTGATTTCAATTTTCTGGTGAATGTAATAATAAGAAATGACATGAACATTTATTTCTAGGTAATGTGCTTTGTAAAAGGCTTATTTTTCCCCAAATACTATAAATTAATTTTAAAGAAAATCAACACTTTTTGAGGAAATTTCCCATGTTCCTTTAACTACTAGGAGAGTAATCACAAAACTGACCATAGTTTTTATGAAAATATGGTTTGGGAGCAGATGCTTCTCAAAATAATTCACCCCAAAAAATGTATTGCAAGATGTTCTCCCTATCTTTCATCTTTCAAAATGTTCCTAATTCTCTCCAATTTTCCTGAACATTTTGTCTAAAAGAATTTTTGCAAGTATAAATCTCTCTATATTATCAAGTTGTAGCTCAAACATTTACCAGAAAATTGAATAAGCTTTTGTAAACATTGGTATTCATTTACTTTATTGATAAAGCAAAACACTAATTTGTCAATATGCAAAGTATTGTTGGAGTTGGGAAACAGATGTTTGTGTTTTATTTTAACCAAGAATCCTCGCTGATACCATAGCAATGCAATGACTAAATGCATTTCACGACACTATCTACTCATTTGAAAATACTGACAATTCAAATCACTTTAGTTTCTAAATGTACTGCCAAATTTTGACCATTTATGATATATGATTCTAATAATAATTAAAAACTAAACCTATTTAAGATAAATTCTCTTATAAGTAAGAGAAATGTTTACAAGGCAGATTTTGACAATTTTCAGGTAAAGTATAGGAAGAAAATCAATCACTTATTGGAACAAGTTATTAAAAAGAAACTCAAAATTAATTGTAGTATTATAGCATAGGGATTTTTAATAATGGGAAAAGTGTCACAATCAACAGACCGCATTAGATATATCTCCAATAATATTCAAAATGCTTAAAAAGATACAACTGAAAATGAATGTATCCTTATCTTAAAATGGAAAAGATATTTTGTATTTTATTCTAATGACATAATAAATAAAATTGGAAATATTTTCTTTAAAGTCTACTTTTGTTGCTGTTGAAGCTAGGGTTAAGCAGTTTTTCTTGTGGATGGTTTATGCGTACATTCACCACATCTCCCTGGAAGCCTGCCATATCTAACCAATATATCAATAGTATACTGAGGAAAAAATGGAAAGCACCTTGACAAGGCCACAGAAAGAGAGTGCCACAGAGCAGTGGTCAAGTCGAAGAACTTCACACACGGAGCCAGGTGCAGTGGAAACTGAAAAAGCTTATGTGCTTCTCTGTGCAGCTGCCTTCGTGTTTAAAGCCCTTCTATGAACAAGATTGGTGACTGCAAAAGGCTTAGAAAGGAGGGAAGCAAGAAGGGGGGAAAAGAAAGAATAAAAAGAAAACTATTCATAAAAGAATAAATAGAAGCCATATCTCCACAAATAAAACAGAAAGTGAGAATAAAGAAAGAGTTTAAAAGTTTAAACAGAGTGAAGCACTAAGCTACAGAAAGTGCAGAGAGTGTGTAACGTAGTATGGAACTTCTTACAAAGAAATAATTCAGATTTTATTCTCTCCAATGATGCTTCTTGGTGATCATTTAATACTTTTTTCTCTTTAAAACTTTAGTGGGATTTACTTATTAGTATGATTTTTAAAAATATATGCTAAAACTGGAAATACTAATATATATGCTACAAGTATTGTTTACTTTCGCAAAATCAGATCACTAATACCTGGCTTTGCAAAGAGATGTAACAGAATTATCTGAAATGGGCATAACTTTTTGGAGTATTCCTGCTACTTGGTATGAGGTTTATAATACACCACATCAGTTTGCACTGAGAAAAGCCCTTAAGTAAATGCATTTTAATTCTCTGCATTTAATGTTTTATACTTAAAAAGAAAACACTTCAAAAAGTCTTTTTACAATAAAATTAGACATATTAAATCTGATTGCAGTTCAATACACACAGGTGCAATTACTTCTTAGTACAAGTGCTTTAATACAATCCTCAAACAGCTGTTATTGTGCCCAGTATGTTGTGGCTTCTCTGTTAGCTACTGGTGTGACAAATAAATGGATTGGTAACTCTGGAATCCATTCACATAGTTAAGAACTTAAACACTGAAAAAAATCTTTAGCATTTTTGATAAAGAAAAATACAAACTGCCTTGCTTTTAAAAAATGTTCTCCAGAACACGTTTTTGTATTTTAATATTCCTTTTACATGTGCTGACATCTCAAATAATTTGAAAGAAACATTATGAAAATGGCAACCCTGAGTGTTTGTTGAAATAAAATAGCTACTGGGAAGACACATGGATAGGAAAATATTCCCATCTATCTTCTAAATTTAGCTCTTTTGCAGATGTTTACTCATTTCTCTTTCTTTCCTTAGGTTTTTATGGATCATTACATCTCAGGGGGACTAAGCTAATTGAAATGTTCAGTGAGATTAGAAGGCTACAGAAAAAAACAAAGGGGGTGGGTCAGAAAGGAATAAAATGCATTCAAAGAAACATGCATGCAGGAGAGACTTTCAGTATTCAATATTTTGTTTTGAAACATTTAAAAGGCTTATGGTTAAATCGGAATTTTTGAAGGAAAAATGGGAATGAGTAATTCTAAATGTACAGTTTTTAAGAGATAACAATAAATCATATGCCATATATAGGGCAAAAATGAAAGGGACTTTGTACTCACATATAAACTCCTGGCAAGGTCTGGTTTGTTGTCAGGTTCCCAGACACTAAATAGATGCTCTGTTCACTTAGCGTGAAGGCCCGCAAGGGGCAGGGACCTCCGGGGATTCTTGGCAGTTCTCAAGTCTCATTAGGTCTGCATATTAATGACTTGCAGCAATATAAAGAGACCCTTGAGCAGCCTTTTTTCCCTTCCTCCTGCCTGGGTTTCCCAAGGCTAAGGCAGCCACAGACACAGCACACATTAGCCAAGTGAGAGGCTTGTAGCAACCACGGCTGGCAGGCCACCATGGAGTGTACACTGCCCTTCGACACACTGCCTCAGCACTGCCCAGAGGTCTACCAAGTGTGCTAAGGAATGGTGCTCACAAGCATGAGTTTTACCTTGAGAATCAGAACCCCAGCATTCCATGGTTATGTTATTAACCTAAAGAATGGTCAATAGCAAGTGAGCAGAATTGAACCCAGCAAAAGACTCACGATGGATGTTTTTACAGTCACAAAAGTTGACTAACCTTTCTATTTCCAGAGAATGGGATAGAAAAGTAAAACATTCAACATGCACCCTTCATGGGTGAAATCCAAATGAAACAAAAACCAGATATTTAGGAAACGATGTACATATTTTATTTCTTGCAAGGATTTACTTTGAGTATCCATCATTAGGATTATCAAGATCTTATAAAATGTAAAAGTTAAGTTTATATGGAGAAAAGTAAAATATACATACATACATACATATATATATATATATATATATGTGTATGTCAGGTTGCAACCTCCATCAAGTGACAACCATGAAGTCCACATACAAATATACCCAGAAGTCCATGTTTGGGAGATCATGAACCCTGTTGGAAATATGAGGAAATCTAGGATGTCTCAGAAAGTACATGTTTACTAATGTCATGAAACCCTAGGACCCTAGACTGGAAAACTGCTTTTTACCCATTGGTAACTGTTTAATCTGCATTCTTTCTCTCATTCAGTACTTGGAGGTAGACAAAATGCATTGCCCTACAAATTGAGAAAGTTGGATTCTAGCTGCCCAAACATCCATTTATCCTCTTGTGACCTTGCATAGGTCAATTTCATTCATCTTCAGTTACTTTATCCATAAATAAATCTAATAATATAGGAATGAAAGAAAACCGGGGACTAGCCCAGTTGAGAGATTTATAGCTTTTTATATGCAATAAAATCTCATCAAAGCATATTACATAAGGAAGATGTATTTCATATTCCAACATATTCCACAGTGAATTTGTAACTTGAATTCTCCAAAGGCATTTTATATTTTCACAATCTTATTTGAGTGTAAAATTATCAACACAGGATGCACTGTCTTTCTGTAGAGTTACTAGCATTGAACTGACAGAAAATTATCTAGGACACTTTCCTTTCTAGATTAAAAAATAAATAAAATATACAAAGATAAGAGTCAGCACTCAGCTTGCCCTTGGATCACACTTACCAGCTGACTGGCCGCGGTTGGTGGCATCATGGTCACTATCTCCCTGCTCACTGTCTCCATGGCCACTGTCCTTAGAGCTTACTATGTCGGCTTCCTGGAATGCAGAACTAGAAGTACAAAAATTGGAATATTAGAATTAAAAAGGTAAAGCAACACAGAAAACATTCTTCTGCCACCACATGGACACAGATGGTGCTGCAGACTTTCAAGACCTCCCGGCTGGCATTATTTTCTGCATAGAGCTAGTTTTCTTCATCTGAGCCTCACTCTTTAAAAATTGAACATTCAGAGTCAGTTTAAGCACTCCAGGAATATTAAGTTTAGGCATTATTCTATGGTAGGAGCAAAGTATATGTTTATGTCATTTTCATAAAACAGACATAAGTACACATCTGGAAGCCAGGTAGGGGTGTAAATTGACAAATTATTCAAATATGTTCCTTATGTTGTGTGTAAATGAAGCACACTCTTTAAAATGTATTGTCTAAGTAGCGCAATATATTAAGTATCTATGTTCTGCCCTAAAGACTAATACTTCCATATGTTTTATGTTTTAAAAACAAATAATACACCATCTTCCTACTTCTACTAGGAAAACTGTCCATACATCAAGTTAGGGAATAGAAGAGTGCATACCTGTTAACTCGTCGAGGTCTGTCAACTAGATAGCTGAGCTCTGCTCGCTGGTGTTTAGTCTAGAAAAAAAATAAATCAATCAAAAGTATTTGAATGCTAAGGGCTTAACTTCTAGTCTACTTTTGTGGTAAGGTACTACGTCTAGCCTAAGTAATTGTGTACATTTTTATGAACTTCCAAGTCTGCCTAAGACATCAGTCCAGTGGTTGCTGGGTAAGGGCAGGGATGATATTCAGAAACATTTGGATCCATATTTATTTCAGTCAGTTATAAAGGTTACGAAAGAAAAAGAAAAGAAAGACCAGCCAACTTTAAGTGTGTTATTTTAGGAGAATGCAAATGATCTGAAAGCTAGCTTTCATAAACTATTGTCTCTGAGGGAGTTAGCCTGGTTATACTCTGTAGTTTTTTTTTTTTTTTTTTTCCCTTCAGTGGCCTAAAAAAGTGTTTGGGTGCACACTGGTTGACACAAGAAAAACAGCACGCTCAATAAGCAAAAAGTTTGGATATTTTATGGAATTATTTTGTTGTTTATTTTCAAAATGTGCTTGAGATACAAATGAGCTGTACAAATATTCATGAAAGTCAATTAATAATATCTAAGACTCAAATAAATAAAATGATAACCTGCCAAGAAAGGCTTTCATAATCCTTCTCCCCTCCACAGGCCCTCTGTTCTTCCTCCCGGCCTCCACCACCCACACCCTTTCGGGTCCAACCTTTCTTTTACATAAACCCATTCTATCCTCCCCAGCCCAACCCCCACCCTCAAGTTTTGCTACTTCTCCACCTTTTAAAAGTGAAATTGGAATTGACAAGCCAAATTATTGGATGAAGAAAGCCAACAGCGGTGATTTATCAAAAACAGTGGCAATAAGGTGATTTCGTAGCTAAAAGGTATGTTTAAGACAACAATTGTTTCAGCCTTTCCTTAGTTTACTCTCACAGGGGTCTGTGCCAAGACAACTTCATTCAAATTCACACCGTGTGGGCGTTCGGCTTCAAGAGCTTCTGTAAATGCTGTCCAGAGCAGAACTGAAGGCTTTTTTTTTTTGCAACCGAGTTCAGATGACAAGGATCTGATAACTTATTCGCTAAAACATGCATTCGAGTTTCGACAACTGTGTAAAGTTCAACAATCTAGAGCTTGCTTGTACAGGCGACTGAAAGCATCGATAAACAAAACCAAATGGAATCAACTTTATTAACGTCTGGGACAGACGCAGAAGAGGAAAAAAAAAATCTTTGCCAAAGCTAGAAAGTCCCTCCCCCCACATTTCCCTTCCCCTCCGACCGCGCAATTTTCCTTTCAACCCCAGGTTTCTCAAAGGGGTAAGGACTGAAGGGAGGGTGGGGAGGGGTGGGGTGGGGCATTAGGAAATCCAAGGAAAAGGTGGAAGGAGGAAAAGAGAGAGCCTCCAAGTGGCAAAGCTCCAAAGGGGAGGGAATGAGAATAAATGTGGAGGGATGGGGCGCAGAGAAATCAGGAACACCACGAAAGTTAGATTACACAGGAAGGGGTGCGTGAGGGTGACCCCCTCCATCCCCGCCCCCGCAGTGATACAAATTAGCTAACAGCCTAGAAATGAATACACAGTGCACCAAGAGATTCAAGGGCCGAGCTAGAGGAGGCTTTCGGATGGAGGAGATGAGAGATGGTGGTCCTTTCGCTTCAGCCTTACCTCGTTGGACAAAATGCTTCCGTTGGAGATGATGTCCGGCTGCTGGTCGGTGTAGCCGGTGACGATGGCCCCGCAGGGGTTGTGCTCAGCGTCCGTACTCCGCGAGGGGCTGCAGGGCTTAAGGAACATCAGGTCGGTCTTAGCGGACTCCGGGGTCAGGCAGACCTGGTAGCAGTAGTTCTGGTTGTGGTGGTGAGAGCCGAAGCCCCCGGACTCCTCCACGGGCACCTGGGCTGGGTTGCTAGGGACGTTGGAGCTTTGCACCAGCATGATGTCCGACTTGCTGAGTTTCTTCTTGCGCGCCCGCGCTTGGCGGCCGCAGCAGGTCGAACCCCCGCCGCCGCCACAGCAGCAGCAGCAGAGGCAGCAGTCGCTGGCCAGACACGTGTAGATGTTGAGTTTCTTCTCCTTTTGGCAGCGCACAGCCAGCACGATCATGGCCAGCAGGAAGATGAAGGACACCGACCCCAGGGCGATGATGAGGATGAGCGTGAGGTCCAGCGAGGTCTCCCCGCCGCCGGAGCGGCTGGGGCGCTGGTGCTCCCCGGACCCTCCGCCTCCGGCCCCGGCCCCGCCCTGGGGTTCCACGGCGCCGTCCACCAGCTGAACCACCAGGGTGGCGGTGGAGGACAGGGGCGGCTGTCCGTGGTCGCGCACTTCGATCACCAGCTCGTAAGGCCGCTGGGGGTCGCGCTTGGCCGGAACCCTGCGCGCTGTGCGGAGCTCCCCGGTGCGCCAGTCCATGCGGAAGAGGTTCATTTCGTTGCCCCGCACGATGCTATAGGTGAGCCGGGCGTTCTCGCCGTCGTCTGCGTCCACGGCAGCCACGCGGGTAAGCAGGTAGCCTGGCTCCGCCGAGCGGGGCAGGACCTCGCGCGCCGGAGTCCCGTTGCGCCCCGGTAGGGGCGCCACGATGGCAGGGGCGTTGTCGTTCTGATCCACGATGAGGATGTTGACCGTGGCGTTGCCCGCCAGCGCCTGGGGGCTGCCGGCGTCTCGGGCTTCCACCTGAAAGCTGAAGTCCTTCAGCTGCTCGTAGTCGAAGGAGCGCAGGGCGTACAGGTAGCCGTTCTCAGAGTTGATGGACACGTAGGTGAAGACGCTCATGCCTTGAATCTGGCACTCGAGGATCGAGTACGCCAGCTGGGCGTTGGCGCCCTCGTCGCGGTCCGTGGCGCTCACGGCGTAGATGTAGGCCCCCGGCACGTTGTTCTCGGTCACATACACGTCGTAGACCGGCTGGCTGAAGCGCGGCGCATTGTCGTTGACATCTGACACCTGCACCTGGATGGACTTGCTGCTGGAGAGGGACGGCTCGCCCCGGTCCCGGGCCACCACGGTCAGGGTGTAGGAGTCCCCCGCCTCTCGGTCCAGGGGGGCCTCGGTCACGATGGTGTAGTAATTCTTGAAGGAAGACTTGAGGCGGAACGGCACGTCCCCCAGCAGCTCGCACTGCACTTGCCCGTTCTCTTCCGAGTCCCGGTCGGTCACGCTGAACAGGGCCACCACGGTGCCGGGCGCCGCGCCCTCGCTCACCGCCTCCTTCACGGTGCTGAAGCTGATCTCCGGCGCATTGTCGTTAGCATCCAGCACTCGCACCAGCACCTTGCAGTGCGCGGGCACGGCGTTGGGGCCCAGGTCCTTGGCTTGCACGTACACCTGGTACACCGGGCTCTCTTCAAAGTCCAGCTCGCCGCTCACCTCCAGTCGGCCGGTGCGCGGCGAGAGTCCGAAGAGCTCTCGAGCCCGGGGCGAAATGTGGCTGCTGAAAGAGTACACGACCTCTCCGTTCTGGCCCTCGTCCGGGTCCGTGGCGTTCAGCTGGATCACGAGCGTGCCCGGGGGCGAGTTCTCTGGGAGGGACACAGTGTAGACTGGTTGGTCGAAAGCGGGCACATTGTCGTTGGAGTCCAGCACTCGGATAGTGAGCAGGGCCGTTCCGGTGCGCTGTTGCTGGGGGGGCAGGCCCGCTCCCCCGCCACCGCCGCCTCCCCCTCCTGCTTCTCCTCCTCCTCCTCCTCCTGCTCCCCCTCCTCCCCCGTCCACCGCGGTCAGCACGTAGCGGTGCACCGCTTGCTGCTCTCGGTCCAGAGGCTTCTCCAGCACCAACTCGGCGAATCGGTTGCCATCCCCTTGGGTCTGCACGTCCAGGGAGAAGTAGCTGTTGGGGGTGATCTCGTAGTCGCGCAAGGAGTTGGTGCCTACGTCTGGGTCGAAGGCGCTCTCCAAGGGAAAGCGGGTGCCCGGCGTGGCGCTCTCCGAGATTTCCACAGTCAGGTCCGGCTCGGGGAAAGAGGGAGGGTTGTCATTGATATCGAGCACCTCAATCTCCACCCGGAACAGCTCCAGGGGGTTCTCCAGGAAGACCTCCAGGTGCAGGACGCAGGAGGGGCTCTGCTTGCAGATCTGCTCGCGGTCGATCTTCTCGTTCACGTAGAGCACCCCGGTCTCCAGGTTCAGGTCCAAGTAAGGGGTCCGTGAGTTGGGCACCGTCTGAAACCTGCGAGCCGAAAGTTTTGTAATGTCCAAGCCCAGATCTTCGGCGATATTCCCCACGAAAGTGCCATGTTCCTGCTCCTCCTGCACCGTGTAGTGAAGCTGGGAAAAGACTCCTTCCACCATCCAGAGCAAAGCAAAGAATAATAGCACAATCATCTCCAAAGGGAAAGGAAGCAGCTTCCCGTAGCCAGTCAGCCACCCAGTCACCTCCCCCACCACCACGGAAAGAAAAAATCGGAAAGAAAAAATAATAATAAGAATAATGCAAATAAAAGTGCGCTACGGTAGAGGGGCTCCTGGGGCTTTCTGTCTTTAAAAATCTTATTCCTTTTGCCTCATTTTAGAGCAGCCCCCGGCCCAGCCTCATTTTTCAGATCTTAGCGCAGGAAGGGTGAGAGGCGACCCTCTCCTCATCTGCGATCTTCTCGCTGACCAATTAATAAAATAACGAGAATACAATAGTCAGCGTCCTTTATTCCGACCGTCTTGGCGCAACGCGGCGTTGGCAAATCCCAAGGAGGAGATTCCGGTATTTGAAGACTGGCCTCGGTTTGTCTTCTTGCCGATGGGAGGAGAATGAGGAGCAGGACGAGGAGAAACAGGAGGAGGAGGAAGATGAAGAGGAAGAGGAGAAGGACGAGGAGATGCTGCTGGCACCGCTGAACATGCCTCTTAACGCCAACGGCTGGCAAACGCGAGAGGGCTTACAAACAGCGAGAGGATCTCGTGCCGGGGAGGCACGGAACGGCTCTGCAGCATAAAACTTTCATTCTCTTCATCTCTCCGGATGGATGCTCTTCTTGGCATTTTTTTCCCCCTCTTTGGCTCTTACGGGTATTTTCTGGCTTTCATCCTCTCTTCTCGCTCTGTCCCTGTGGCCACCGTTTCTTGCCTCTCTGGCAGTGTAAGGAGCAGTTTCTTCTCTGTTTCCTTCCCAAGCCGCTTTCCCTCTAACCTCTTTTCTCCCTCAGTCTTTCCTCCCGCTTCAGCCTCCGCGCCTGTGATCTCGGCTGGCAGTTTCTGAGCTCCGAGCGCTCGGCTTCTCTGTTTTTGCGCAGCGCCCTCATTCTGCCAACCAATCGCCGAGGAGCACCACCCACCAAGCAGCCACTGACTGGCCCGGGCCGCCGTCAAACACCCGCGTCACGCGGCTGCCGGGCGGGGCGGGACGGAACCCGGGCCCGGGCTGCCCTGGTGAGTGTGAGTGTGAGAGCGAGAGCAGCCCGGCAGGTCCCGAGGCGCTCGCTGGGGACTGTGCCGCGGAAAGTTCCCAGTCCCCAAGCTGCAGGTAATGGGGAGGGAATACAGAGGTTCCCCTGTTTGCATCAGCAAATGCGAAAACACAGCAGCAGCCGTGGCATCCTCTCCTAGGAGCGGGATTTCCGATGATGCTAAAGCATTCTTTTTTTCCTTTAAGGTATTTTCCTTGCTACGGGTCATGGAAACAAATCATGAAAAGTGGAAAAAGTTGCCTAGGAGCAGGCTAATTGGCAGGGGTTACCCAATTAAGGGCTTCTGGCAGAGATTAGCAGGACATTTTAAAAACGTGGGTATAATATGGAGTGAGTGGCAGGTGCCAGTCTAAGCGCGGGGGCGATGAGGGTCGAGGCGAAGTGGTCGGGAGTTGCTTCTGCAAAAGCGGAGGGATTCGCTCCAGGGGCTGTGGCTGGCAGTTCCCGTGGACGTGCACGCGCGCTCGACGTGCCCGTTTCCTCCCTCAAAAGTATATGCACGAAATTCTTCCACATGCGTGCATGGATGCATTCGTTTGGAGACCTGGCTTCGAGCTGTGTGGATGCACGGATCAAGGACCGAAGTTTGATCTGCGCTGCCGCCCGCGAGCCCGCCGTGCGGACGCCCGCCACCAGGGCGCCCATGCGGTGGCTACACCGCTAGGCGCTGCAAGGAGCTTCCCGTATCCCTGCGCCTCTGCTGGCCGAGTGCCACACAGCGGCCGGGAGCACCGACTATTTTCTGCTCCCTACCCCCCCCCCCTTTTTTTTTTTGACAATTGGAGATTCCCTCCCCGGTTCGCCTGCTAGGCGGGGGCACCTGTTCCTGCCCAGCCTGGAGTCAGCAGTCCGGAGGAGGACTGCGGCCGGGGTTTGTGGAACGACGCGCGGGGGGGGGGGGGGGGGGGCTGCACACGCGCGCGTCTCGAGTGTGCTCCGCTGCGGGTTTCCGCACATTCACGGGCACTCGGCTGAGTCCGCTCCGGCTCCGTGCTCTGGTCTGTCTATAGGTAAAGCCTCAGTGGAGCCGCCCCGAGGTTCCACAGGACGCTCCCGGCCAGCTGTGAGTGCCCACTCCGGAGGCGGCGCAGGGGCTCGGCGACGCAGCCACACACCTCGCTCTTGGGAAGTTAAAGCCCAGTGCGACCTCTTCGAGGCTGGAGAGCGGACTTAAGGCCACTTCTCCCCGGAAAGATGCACGAATGTGAATTTTTATATTAATTCAGGAGCTGTTTGAAAGGCGGGGGTGGTTCATCCACTCCAGCAGCGCGCGTCCAGTTTCTTTCTTACGCCACTAGATAGGACGGTCCCTTGCGGCCCTCTGGGAAGAAATGACCCCAAGAGTGGCAACAACACAACCTGCAGGGGGTGGGGGAAGGAGTGGCGGGTTTCCTCTCCCGTAGGTATACTGCCATCCCCTGCGGGCAGGGAATTCAGAAGGGCAAGTGTCCAGGGGCTTGCTCGTCGCCCGAGGCGTGCTGGTGCCAGCCCCGCTAGTGCGTGTCTACTGCCCCGTCCCCCCGTTCCCTCCCCCCAACTGCTGCTACTGGGCTCTTTCCGGGGAGAAGGGTCCTGCTTTGGAGCGGGTAGAAGGAAAAGATGCCAGCGAAAATGGCTAATCCTTTTCCAGCTGCAGTAACCCGATGGCTGGCCAAAGCCGAGCGAAAACCGCTGCAGTGAAAAATGATTCCAGCGCCACGTCTGCGGCTGAGAACCGAGCGGCAGGGCAGCAAACGACCTGTGGATCAATGAAAAGGAGATGGTAGCGCATCTGAATATTAACACCGTATTGCCTCTGTACTGCCCACTCTCCCCTCTCCCCTTCCAGCCCCCTTGTCTTTTTCTTCAGGTCTGCGGGATGGAAAGGCCATGTTTTGCGCTCTTGGAGCTGACTCATCAGAACCATGCAGCCTTTTGGAAAAGGACGGTAATTTTTCTAACGTGTTCCTCTGTGCGCGTGGAAACACTTGCGTGTGCGCGCGTGTTTGCGCGCGCGAGGCTGGCGGCTGAATGACAATGCAGATCCAGGAGGGGTGTGAGGGAGCGAGGTTCCGTGCGCCCGCAGCGTGCGTGAAGTTGGAGCCGACTTGAGGCGTTTGCCGAAAGCCAGAGAGCTTCCGGAGGTGGAGATGGCCAGATTTGCCTGTAAATAATCACTACATCCACTGTAACACTTGAGCTGCTTTTTTTTTTTTTTTTTTTTTGGATAGCGGATGTGAAGGGGAACTCGCTCCGCAAACGTGGGTGACAGGCGTCTCCTAGCGGCGAAAGCGGCATAGGGCAAGCCAGGGAATTTTGCTCTGGAGCCCTGGCTCTGCCGGGCTCGCCTGTTGGAGCCTTGCGTGGGATTTCTTGGGTCACTAAGGCCTGTGTCGTCGGGCCCGGGTCCTCCGGAGGTCTCGCCTCTCTGACTCGGAGTCTCTCCGGCGCCGGCCCGGGTGCAGCCGGGTGACGACTGGGTGTGTGGGGGGGTCTTGTTCCGAGCAAAAGAGAGCTGAGCCTGGCACCCCCCAGCCTCTGTCTAGATAGCTCCAAGCCAAAGGCAGCTGCGAGACCATGTTGTTCGGAGCCGAGATGTAGCTATTGGCATTAATAGCCGCCCCTGCCTGTTTACACTGGAGCCATTAAAATAACCAACTAGGTGGCCCACAAAACAGAACACTTTTAATTTGCATTTGAAAAACAACTCTTACGTGGAATACGTTGACTGTCTCGCTAGTGGTCACCAAGCAGATTCTTTTTCTCTTTCTCTCTCTCGTTTTTTCTTCTTCAATTCACACTGCCGCCAGCGGAGGTGATAATTTCATACTCGGTGGTGAGGTGGACGACCTCTTGGGAGTGCAGAGCGGTTTGTGGGAACCAAGAGACACAAGCCTATTTATTCCTGTCCACGGTTCCCTCCCACCCAACCCAGGACCTCTGGAGACCGAGGGGGGACGGGGCAAAGTTTTTATCAGGGGTGGCGTATCAAAATCAAGTTTCATTAAAATTCTTAAGACTATACATGAGAGTGATGAGGCATTTTCCTTTGCTTGCTTGGCCTTTAAGAGCAGCAGAGAGAGTAGTAGTGAGTTTCCCACAAATGTGTTCTTGCAAATTCGGTGCTAGGTAATGGGGGTACTTTTCTTGCTCACCCCTTGCTGAAAAAAAGAGGCAGGGCAGCAACTTTAACCAGCCTTTTTTGGATAAATGAGTGTTCGCCGTGATTTCACATAGCTCATAAGCAATCTGCTTCTAAATCTTATCGCAGTGTAAGCAAAGCCTTGAAAGAAAAAAATTTTTTTTGAGAATTAGAAGAAAAAAATAATGAATCAATAAGGAGTGTTTCCAGTGCCAGTTTGGACCAGGATTGAGTAAGATGGTTGCTGGCACTTGAAATTCCCAGCAAGCACAGCGCAGAGAGCAAGGCAATGGACCCGGACTGCACTGCACGCTTTATGGGGAACCATGAAGTAGATTTATTTGTCGTAGTGGAACTTAAGAGGAGGGAAGGCAAGGCTTTGAAGCCAGTGCCACAGACACTGTTAGTTTTTGTTCATTAATGATCAACAGTAAATGTTGACTAGAAATTCTGGAAAGATTTGCAACACATGCCACTGTAAGTATTCAGTAGCTCTCTATGCACTTTATTCTAATACTTTGACCCTAACAGAGAACAATCCAATCTTGGGACCAAGAGTACTAGAAATTCCATTAAGCATCATTCTCTTGATATTCACAACAGAGAAGTGCTTCTCCATTTTGTTTAACCTGGCTCATATTGGTGTGGCTTCACATTTCAGTGTCTTTTTGGTTATCAACCAGGGCCAGCATTTTGTTAAATTCTAAACAGTGAATTAAAAGCAGCGAATGAACTGAAGCAGCCCTCTAATGCAGAATGACAAATTGCACTTAAGCAATACATGACCAAGAAAATGATTTATGGATTTTTACAATGGTCTGAGCAAATGAAAGCAACATGAATTATACATCCTAATGCTCACGATATCATTTTCTAATAATGCTGTTTGAGTTCAGATCCTATATCCTCCTTCTTTCTATAAGAGACACTGATCAATAAGAGGTTCAGGAATTTTTTTTAAATTAGGCACTGGTTTTTGATACAGGTTGTGTGTGTGTGTGTGTGTGTGTGTCCTGGGTATTGGAGTGAGGATGCATCATGAACACTAAAGACACATTCCTGTCAGAACCTTCACATATAGATTGTCTCTTGGTGTAAATAGTTCTTTGGAAATTTAAGCTTGTTCCATACCATCTTTCAGAATGCAAATAAATAGCTCTGATTTAGGATGACAATCTTTATTTCTTCATTACCTGTTTTTCTGAAAATCAAGATGCATTACCTCAACTTACCCTTTTTTACATTGTTTTGGCTATTGAAAAATATTTTTGAAAAAATGTTTCTGAACCTCTTCATATTTGTTTGATCCTCTCTTTTGTCAGAATGTTGTTTTATTCCTTAGTATGTTAGGGCACACCTGGATTAGTAAAAAGTTTGTGTGTTTTCTTTTTTTTTTTTTTTTTTCTGTTTGGCTTCAGTAGACAAAATATTACATATGGGCTATCTTAAACTACGTAAGAAATTCTACAGAAGAAAATTTTATGTGATGCTTGTGTTTTGAGCCTGAAAAAATACAAAAGTCTACTTGTTTCTGTGTTATGACCAGTCACTACACCTGGAACTTTTATTTAACTGTTTGTGGCTTGTTTAGGTAGGTATTTTTTGGGACATGTATGGAATTTTTCAGTGGAGGTAGTGGCCTTGCTTTGTTGCATCTACAACCACAGGAAACTACTAATCACCCAGAAGCCTCTGAGTCACATTATTTGGCTTAATCTTAATTACACAGATTTATAGAAAAAAAAAAAAACATTGAATCCCAGTTTCTGCTTTTGACAGCATTAATATCTGCAAGATTACTGAAATCAATGATGTGATTGGGATTGTAAATAAGAACTACAAGACATCATATTTGAAAAGCCAGCTGCTTTGCTATCAGGGAGATGTGTGGGTTTTACTGGTGGGACCCAAAGGCAGTAAATGAAGCTTCACACATTGAGTTTGATATAAAACTATTTCAAAAATTAATTGCAAGTTCTGATTAAGTTTATATGAGTAAGAGAGAAGTTGTCCACAAAGAGCTCTTTTTCATTCTTCCCCAGTGGTTTTATTTCTTATATGTCGGTGATACAGAGTCAGCATCAAACTGGTGTTTGTCCAGCAAGTATAAATTTTTTCTTAAGGGGAAGCCTCTTGATCTTTATAGCGTGAAATTACTGAAGTTGTGATTGAGATTAGAAGTCACAGCACTATATTCTGAAGAGTTTAAAAATAATATTGGAAACAAAATTATAAAAAGAATATCAAGCATAGCTTGAGAATTGTATCAGTAATTAGAATTACATTGGAGTTACAGTAGTAAATCAGAACAAACAGCAATCCAGACACTTCAATTTAAAAAAAAAGAAAATCATTCTCAATTTCACTGCCTGATTATTATTACTCTTTTATATAAGAAGCCTGATTTGCATAATATGTTATTCAAATCTGCTTGGCAATGCCATATTACAAAATACTTTATTATGCTTTTTTACATTGTTATAAGTGAAAGTGACAATAGTCCTTTCTTTCTCTTCTTTCTTTCTTTCCCTCCTTTCTTCTTTCTTTCATGCTTGATAAAGTTATGGTGGGGGCTAGAGAGAGAGAGAGAGAAGAACAAATCTTCCATCTACTGGTTTCCTCTTCAAATGGCTTCAACAACCAGATCTAAGCCAGGCCAAAAGCAAGGAACTCTACCCGGTCTCCCAGGTGAATGCAGGGGCCCTAGTACTTGGGCTGTCTTCTGGTCTTCTGTTGGCTTCCCAGGTGTATTAGTAGGAAGTTTACTGGAAGTGGAGCAGCTGGGATTCAAACCAGCACTCTGATACCGGATGCCTGGGTTGGAAGTGGCAACTTAACCTGCTGTGCCCCAATATCGCCTTGACTAATACTATTTAAGTAGCCCAGAATTCTTACATAAGTTATGGTGTTTGATCTTCCCCATCTCCATAGGTAGTATTATCTCTATAACTAACCTTATAGTTAAGGCTATTAAATTGTTCACAATTTAGTAACTCTCCAGATTAATACTGAATTCAGATCTGAGTCATCTGATGCTCCTGTCCGGGCTCATTTTACCACACTGTGATGCTTCTTTTGCCTGCATGTGTGGGGTTCACTTAGGTAGGAGAGCAAAAAGTGAAGTAATTTAGGGATGTGGTTCATCCAGATTCTGGGTTGACAGGAATGCTGATTTTATCTTAATTAAAAGTGTCTAGTACATCACTGAGTTGAGTCATGGAGGAATTCATAAATATGTTTGCTGGTTTTTTTTTTTTTTTGAGGTTTTTATCAGGTCTGGAAGAAAACCAAAACTTGGATGTGTTTTCATAGAAAATAATGAAGATTGTAAGCAACGATTGCTTTTTCGTGTAAAGATCCTGCAATTGGAATCTAGATTTTAATGATAGAACATGGCAATTGATTAAAAAACAAAACAAAAACAAAGCATGTCCAAGAGAAAGGCATCTTTGCTTCTTCCATTCCTGAAAACCATCACTTGATCAAAATGATCCCAGTAATATCCCTGCTCTCTCTAGTTTATCAGAGATTAAAAGCAAGGGAAAGACAACTAGTGTGCCCACTTCACATAATGTACACACTATTTATTTTGTGTGTATTTATAACTTGGTATTTGATTTAAAGGGCTAAATATATTCTTTTGGAAGTGAAATTCAAGTATTAATTTACACTAATTTCTTTTTTTTCTTTCTTTGCACTAATTTCTTCTTCAGTGATGCTTTGAAAAATTGTTTCAATTGGAAATTTTTGGAACAATTAAATTTATTTGTACCAGGGAAAAATGGAAATAACTTAAAATAATTTTA